TATTTTCTTTAAAAAAATCTTTATCTGACTATGATTCTGTTATTAAAAAAATTCACCCTAATTTTTCAGCATATGAATTGCGAAATTTATAAATTTTCATGAACTGAATATTTCCTCCTTTATTTCTTTTGAATTTTCCTGGAATATGCGGAGATAGCTAACAGTATTCAAGCTCAAAAGTTCATCAAACATTACAAAATAGGAGCGTAGAAAACACAGACCTCCAAAACAACAGGAGTGAGCACCGCCTGCCAGCAGGTCAAACCCGCCGTGTGATCCTTGTCATGATCGGGATATAGCGGAAAAATCCGTTGACAATGCAGTGTATAGATAATGGACTTACAATTAGTATGAAAAAGTCCGTCAGCATTTCACTCAATCATAAATTTCATATAAAGAAAAGGTCATTGCATCGACAACAAAACTTACGAAATAATGACTGTAAACGAGACTGATGTTATTCTTGTTTCTGCAACTTGTCAATATCTTAACTCGTTTTAGAAATATTTTGTACATAGAACATGCTCTTGCGTATCGAATCAATTGAGAGATATGAACTCCATGTGTAGGTGACTAAGGTACATGTATATTTTTGCATAAGAAAGGGAAGTTGACGATTGAAAAGTCCTCACGTTTATCGTAAAGCTTTGTTGTAAGATAACCATAAACGTCTTTCTCTAGAAAAAGATCCAAATATGAAACAGATGTGTCAGACTCTGTGGTATCTTTATTTCAAGCTCACCGGGATATATCGTTTCGACACAAGAATGAAAATAACCATTGTTAATTGACAAAACGTCGTTGAAATTCTAAATGTCGCGTTGAAGGACACAACAATACTTTTCTTCTTTTCAAGTAAAAGAATTTGAACGAATTCTTCTTCATGTTAACACAAAAATAGGTCTGATAACACTGGAGCTATGCAAAAGGTAAAGATAATGAACAGCGATCGACTGCAAGGGAACTGTAAACAGGACTTAAACACAGACCCAACCTTCTGAATTTTCAGAGTTGGATCAGGAGCGAAAGAGAGGTATTATCCCCTGCAGATCAATCCCACGCTCTGCGAGCCCTATACATCGATCATGAGATAAACAGGGTATTTTGAAGTTAAATCTAGAAAAAAAGTCTTAAAATTTGATGGAAAAACTTTAGCAAAATACGACCCAGTGATAGTCAATAAAGTCTAAACAGCAAACAATAGTCGACAGTCTACAAAAAATCATTATAATTACTGACCATAGAATATTCAATGCTGATTTCAAGCTAGATTATTGATATCTGTAGCATTAACTTGTATATCATAAGAAATTTTACTCGAAACATGCTCTTGATTATAAATACGTTCAGAGACACATAAAATGTGCATATTTAAAGGTAATAGCAAATGTTACCTCATAATGGTAAATCAAAGTGAAGTACAGAGAGCCGGGCTCATTAACAGAGTAGAATGGGCGTTTATATTCTGATGAAAAAATTATTTTAAAACTATCAATATAAATGATAAGACACTGACAAGCTAATACCAGTCCGATTTTGTCAGAATCATATCATTCCCTCTTGCTTTACCTCGTAAGAGAAAGGATTATCAAAAATCCTTGTATGAAAATGACAAGTTTTCATAGTCATTAGCTAATGTTTATTTTATATAGATAAAACGTCGTTTTATTTTTGTTGCTTTATTTAGCGTTTGTATTTTAAAGCGGTTGAGAGTAAACTAATTTTTGCACGTAACTTTAAAAAAGAAGCCTTGAACAGGCCAGCCGGCCATGTGTTAAAAAATGATTGAAAAGTTTGTCATCTCATTTTTGTAAAGAGAAAGAATTTGTAAAAATGACAAAGAAGCAAGGCCAGATGTGTTAAAAGACTGACGACATCAAAAAAATAAAATTCAATGCTTACATTGACATTTTGTTTTAATTTTCTCCCTTCATAATTATTAATTTTGTTAATTTTTACTTTTTTGATTTTAGCACCTTTCAGAACGTAAGCTGATGTGCTGTAAGCTGTTTGTGACATGGAATAAATAACACAAATGAACATTGTGAGAAAAAAATGACAAATTAATTTTAAACGCAATGCTGTATTTTTAAATTAATCTAACAGTATAGCTGTTTTTTATTTTTATTTAATTGAGTCAAAACAATATATATTTTGGTGTTTGTAGTGTATTGAATTTGCACATAGTCCCTATTCTACCACGCAATGATAAAGTTTCGTGTGTCCTATAGAGATTTGAACGTCGTAGATTTCTGTTATATTTCAAAAAGAAAGGGATAATGAATGTAAATTTAAAATTTATCTAACAGTTGTATATTTTAATTCTTCTTTGATTAATCGCAACATTTCTTACCGTAGTTCGTGAAAAAAAAATACAACATGATAGAAAATGCACTTCGTCAACTATACAACACCCTACTTATTGTCTAGATATAGTGAACATGGAATAAAAGATACTACAGAGTCTGTATTATTTAGAAATAATTTACCAGCACAACTGTATGATTAAAGTGATGGCTTCAATTTCCCTTACTTATAAAGCAACATACCCTTATCCCTTGCATATAGGGTTTATATCTAAAAATTGATTTGATACGCAAGATCAACCTTAAGTTTACGTGCAGGCTTTATCTATAAAGCTATTGGCAAGAAATTTGGCAAAGCAAGGATATCAATGGCATCGTTTAAAGTCATCATTTTTCAAGTTCAATGGTCGATAAACGATAAATTCAATCTCACTTCAAGCCAATATTTGGCCATGCTAACACACTGAATTGTCAAAGGATTTTATCGTTTTTCCGGTCATGACAAGGAGCAAATGGCGTTTTTGAACTGTCGACAGGGGATGCTTAACACTCAATGGCACCTGATTCCAACTCTGATATTTTAGAAGTCTCCTACCGATTTGTATTATTTCCACGGACTTTTAAGCTTTATTTATGTCAGTTATCTATATGTTTCGTTTGAAGTTGTGTAGATATATATCTATCTAACACTTTCATAGTATACTTTGGTAGAAAATATAACTATGGCGACACTTATACAATAAAAAAGGGTTTTTAATGTGGGAAATAATTTTCTCTTGGGAAATAACTTTTGAACTTTGAATAAGTTCCAAGCTTTAAATTAAAGTTTTCCTGTTTCATCCGGTAAGAAAGCATAATCTGATAGCAACATGTACATGTTTCTTAAAAATATTTGCAGATATGGTGCTTGTGCAGTTTTTTATCTTTCATTTTAAATTCTGAACATCCAGTTATTAACAATTACAATGTTTATTTAAACTGGAATTTAGGATAACCAGCAACTATTTATACTTTTCTTGACTATTTTAATCATTGGGGAAAAGGAATTAAATGTTCCTAAATTTTATTTCCATGCAAAAAAAATAAGAAGCATCCTGTGATCAAAAATTTTCAAACGAAGGTGAAAGGTTTATAACCTACTCATTCAAGTGAAATATTTCACGATCTTTAGAGTTACTTTCACTATTATTTCTGATGTAAACGTGCCCCAACGTTATTTTTTGTTTAGCCATAACAATTAGTCCCTCTGCTGGTCATGCGTTACATCTATAAAATTTGAATACCTCTTTCACATCCATTAGATTACATTTTTATATGTTGGGAAATAAAAAAAAAACATTATGGTTGATTTTCCTCAAATATGTCTTATAAGTAAAATAAAGATTCCTATCAAAGATTATTATGGCATAAAAATACTGAACTTCAAATTGAATATGCGAATATTTCAGAGGAAATTTACTGCATCGACGCCAGATTACCGGAGTAATTATTCAATCTTATCTCGGATTGAGAAAGGCATAATACACCTTTCTACCGTCAACATTTGAATTTTCCATGTAAAATGAGGGATTAGATGTTACTCTCTAAGGAACTCTGATCTTTTTTCCTGTTCTCTAAAATCGTTTTCAATTTTGTTCCCCCTTTAATGTTTACGTGTAGTAATCCTTATATATACATGCACAAGGTATTGGATATCATGTACAGCGGACATTTTCCATATCAGATAAGCACCGTTCGACCTGTAAAATGTAAATGTTAATTTTCACCTCGGTGGGGAGTGCAAGGTAATTAGGCAATTCCATTTCATAAATCGATAAATTTGCCCTACTAATACCAAATCCTCACATACTTATCTTTTATTGAACCCCCGTGTTTACATACACTTATCTACATGCGTTGGCCAGAACATCCTACTACTACTTCAGCATAATTCAAGGTTAATGTTTACATTGTTTTGCAATCCTGCTGTGAATTATATACCTGGAGTTTTAAGAAATCATATCAGTCGTCGGTTCTTAATAAACGATAGAAAATGGTTTATAGCCGTCTATTGCAATGTAAAAATAAACTGTATATGTTTTTTATGTTCAATTCACAATCGACCCACTTGCAGCCAAACTAAAGTCAAACAAAAACTTAAGTAGAAATGGATCACAAAAACTTAAGTAGAAATGGATCATATTTTTGTGAATATGGGTGATCCTATCATGACACAAAAAAAATCATAAAAATCCCGGTTAAAATGAAAAATTTAATTTAAATCTTTAAATGCCATAATACTGTCTTCGGTATTTGAAGCGACCATTCTGGCTTGTTATACATAAGCATCCCCACCCTACCTCACTGATCATAATATTTTTGTGAATATGGGAAGATTTTCAAAGATTTTTCCTATATATTTCTATGTAAAACGATCCTATCATGACACACTTCCTAGTGGAGGCCTTACTTTAATATGGATTCTGTGAGTAAATGACAAATTTACTGAGTCGTCTTTAACGGTTAAAATTAACGAAAAATTTAATTTAAATCTTTAAATGCCATAATACTGTCTTTAAAAAAGAGAGTATGCAAAATAAAAGTCTATTGCATGTCAAGAAACTTCAATGTAGAATTCACACGTACCCCTTAACCCAATAACCTTCAAATACATATTCAGTGTGACCCTCCACTTCAAAAGATAAGGCGTGCATATAAGGTTTTTTCACTTTTATTTCTATTAAACAAATGACAGAAGATGTGTCGTTTAGAATTGAGGTATAAATTGCATTTCATAAATTATTATGCATGTCAAATTACAGTTATAAAGGTTAACAATTAAAACAGTTATCATTTGAATAAAAATCGTCGACTTCTTGACGAATTGACACCAATAATCTTTGAAGACATATATAACTTTAGCACAACAGTCAGTGAGTGAACTTCACACACGAAGTGACTTCAAAGAGTGGCACACCCTTACAGAGTCATGTCCCGGTAGGAACCCTTAGTATGGTGTGTTCTTATGATAAATGAAATTGTTCATTGCACATATTAAGAGTGTATCATGATTACGAATGTCTTTTCATACAATATCATTCAACACTGTATACCTGACGAAATAAATATTGCACCTCAAATTGTATTTTCTCTTCAAACGAATACTTAAGAATAATACCAGCTTAGATCATTCTTCAATTCAGAAAAATAACGCTGACGAAGATGTGGTACATATACCTTGACGCTCACATGGTCTTGAAACTCTGACTCGTTTGAAGAGAATCGTCTAATAAATAAGTGATTTACATACAATGTACATGAATGCTACAGTCATACAGACAACATAATGAACATGAGAATTGAGAGAGTTCTTAGATGAACTTTGCATTGTTCAAAAGTCAATGAAGACGATCACGTGACACATAACATAAACAACACATCAGTACCCGTCTCATCCGAGTCTATCACGTAAAAAAGAAGCACCCTTGAATTCTGTTCATTGGAGGTTTATGTACAGTTCGACAATGACGTTTACTCCAGACTGGCAATTACATCCACTGGCCACGTGTCCTAGAACTGTCACCTCAGGGGATGTCAGAAAACTACTGAATCTTTTAAAGAACTAGTTTTCTTGTTTTGGATTTCGAAACTTTCCTCTTGATATTGGAACAAGATGTCTTTTGTCCGAATTTGTTCGGATTTCTTCACTTATCGGTCAACAAATTGGATAGGAATTTGATCAACAGGAGTGATGACTGTCCGTAATGTCGTTTTAAGTTCCTCTCCTGTGGATTCCATCCAAAATGACTGTGCTGTCTAAAAAATTGAATTTAAAAAAATTGCTTAGTATTGTTGAATTTATGTCCATCTCTTTTTCTGACTATCAACTTTTTTCAAATCTTTCAAATGAAATCGAACATAGTATGATTATACTTACTTTAACCAAGGTAAGAAACAATTCTTGTTCTGCGATTCGTCTACCAGCACACATTCTGTTGCCAAATCCGAATGGCAGCATGGCAAAAGGATGCTGTTTATTCCCGGAGTCCCTCAACCACCGTTCTGGTTTGAAGTTTTCTGGCTCCGGAAAATACTGTTCATTGTAACCCATGGTATATCCATTCAATAAAACACATGTCTGCAAAAAAAGAGAAAGTTATAAGTAGGGTTTTTGTAAATCATTCATTCTGAAATTATTATACAAACGGTTAGATAGCTTCTATTCTATTTATCAGAGAAATTTTTATTTATATGTGTGATAAACTTACATTTTTTGGTATAAGGTGACCATTTATGACTGTGTCTTCTTGCATTACCCTGGCATTGATTGGTATAACAGGATACATTCTAAATAAAATAATTTAAATATTAGGTAACTTGCAATATAAAAAATTAGTGTGTCCAATATCAATGCTTTAATTTTTCAACTTATTAAAGTGGAAGTAATACTGAGGAAAAAATTACCTTAAACTTTCCTTCATGACTGCCCTTAAGTATGGCATGTTTTGGAGATTTTCGGCGTTGCATGGTTTTCCTTTGCACACTGTATCGACTTCATGTTGTAATCTTGCCTGGGCATTTGGATTTTTTGCAAGAAGGTAAAAGCTAAAACCAAGGGCCTTTGAAACCTGCACAAAAGAAACAAACATATTAAAAAGTGCAAAACAGTAAAAGTAGGTCAACTGATGTATGTAAAAAAAAAATACATGGTTTTGACAAAGTAGATACTTTCATTAGATGAGAAAGACGATCTGATATGAAAATCATGTCCATGTGGTGTACAAAAAATATTGAATGTCTATTTAAGCACTTGAATTGCTAATTACAGTATCAATTGACCACAGCATTCCCTAGCTATTGAGTTTACTGGCAGATAAATTTTGCTGCAACCATTGTGCTGCTGTCAGTAATCTTTTCCGCATTGCTACCTTATATGAAAAGAATTAACTAGATGTCACTTGATTAAAATGTTTCTCCTAATGTTCAAAAGCTCTGGGGATCAACTGCGGTCTTCCGCGACCACAGTATAGTACAGGAATGCGTGCCTGCTTAATTTTGCTGAACAAGACCCACAGCTGTACTGTGAAAGAGTTTTCGATACCATTTAATAAAAACTTAGTCTAGGATAAAGAGGTCAGCCTTCAAGACCACCCAATAGTTATCAATTCGATCCATCAAATTTATAAATTTCCATCAAGTACCATTCAGAAGAGCTTAATTCTGCTTAGCAAAGTGACATGTCTTTGCAGTCACATATCAATCAAAAATGTGTCAAACTTCGAACTCTTTTACAATTCTTGGAATTATATGGATCATATAAAATACTTTAATATAGAACTTACTGTGTCAACTCCTGCTAAAAGAAGTTCGGTTGTATTGACATGGATCTCGTCCATGCTAAGCTTTGTATGTGAAATCATATGTTGCAAGAATCCGACAGCATTTTCTTTTTCTAATTCGCCGTTTTTCAAAGCTTCGTTTATTTCTGCAATTTTGTTGTCGAACAGTTGTGTGGCTGAAATAACAATGAAATACAAGATATGAAAGATAAGAACAAACTTTTTTCTAAAGAAAAAATACATGAAAATAGGCGGTCATTTGGAAGGCAGAGTTTAAAAACATTTAAAGCAAAACTTACCAACTGAATAAATGGTATCCCAGGACTTCACGTGGGTTCTCCATGGTTTGGTGTTGAGTTTTTTGTGAACGTCTGCAAAAACCATCAGTTGATGACCTGTCAAGAACATGTTTCCAATAGCATTGATGAAATCGGCTATTCTTGGTTCAACATCATTTTCTAGGCAACCTAGTTTCTTATCCAAAATAACGCCTGCAGTACCTGCAAAAGTGATGAAACGCTATAAATATTTTTGGATATGGTACAAGGAAAGGTCAACACAAGACACAAAAGGAGGTTTGAGAAGTTTATATTTAACCTATACTTACTTTCCAACGCCCATTTATTGAGCTCTGAAGGAAGGTTATGTACAGATCCCTCGTTGTCTCTGAGAAATCGTACTCGGTTCACGAAAAGTTCTGAGACATCATTCATGATATCTATATATTCTGGTACCGTTTTCGGCCTTAAGGTGAGTTTGCTAATTGCCTGACGCATTTTATGCCATTCTGGTCCAACACTACAAAGTTCAAATATTTAAAAAAGTTGAAAAAGTTAGAAACAATAAATCAATAAAACAGAAGTGAAAGACATTTTTTATTTAGGTCAAGGAAGAAAAAAAACTTACGCAGACATAATGCCAGCTTTTTGATTTCGGATTTTCTTGTACAGAATCCATGAATCGTAAGGGGGACGAAATGGATATTTTCCCTCTTTTCGAACGAGTTCTTCAACAAGATTTGGATCAGCAATGGAAACGTTGGTAACAGGTCCAAGTTTTTCTTTAAACATTTTCCCGTATTTTTGGTGAAATCGTCTCTGTAATTTAAAAAAAAATATTTGTGATTAGAATTTGGAAGCTTGAAGGCTGGAGGTATTTCTTTACGGGACATTAACTTTCTCTTTATGCAAAAACATTCTAAATTATCTTTTTTCTACAGAAAAATCTTCTAAATTTGAAATTCATCATTGACAGACACTTTAATACATAGTTAATCGGCCTGATTTACAACAAACATGTGCATTATTTATAACCCCAAAAGAAATTCGATCTCATAAAAACTTGCAGAGTGGTGAATTGTTTTGTTAGAGAATATCCATTCCATCGGATTTTTTTTTGTGCTTATCGGCTGTTAAGGAGTAATATAAACATAAAAATTAGTTGATCATATTTCGGCATACAATTTTTATGGCACAAATTAGCATAAAACTTTACTCGTGTGGTAGTTAATTTTCAAGACGGATCTCGAAAAAAATAAAATAAATGCAGGAACAGAAGAGAAAACTACTGCTGATAGTGTAGGAGAAATTATTCATCCTATTACATTGCAGCCTCTGACATTTATGAACAATACAACGTTCTTGAGGGTGTACTTGCTGACTTCTTAGCTAGTAATTAATGAAGATATACAACTTATGTGCGAAGCAATCGATGACATTCTTGCGCAACATTTACAATACCGTCACTATCCTTTTAAAATCTTTAGTGACATGCTATATACACAAAACTGGGTGCGCGTACACTGGGAAAGGAGTATAGGGGTCAAGGAGTAGATTTCAAATATCAGCTGAAGTGTGTACAGAAAAAACACAAAGTTTTCCCTTTAGCCCTTAAATTCTGACATCTTGTTAGTTAAGAAACATAAATGGATAAATTCTGTTTGCGGTCAGACATAGAAATGATCCCACGCGTAGATAGTGGATGGAGATGAATCGCCCTCTTTTTTAAACAGTATAAATTAATTTTTAAGAATAATCCATTAAAATTTTTGCGGATTGGTAGAATTTTTGGGGTGGTTATGCCTACATATGCAAATAGATTACAAATATTTCAGGCATTGTATTATTAATGTCCTATGCAAAATAGTCCTCGGGTCTTTCCTGTGTATCTTTGACTCTAACATGCACAAAAAATGTATCTAGGTTATGCTTTCTCCTTTGAAATACAAAGTACAACTGACAACTTCATCAGACATCCTAGATGTTAAAAGGCCAGCAGAGAAGATCCTGCGATGTAAACACTATTACAGCGTGACAGGGACCCTATCCCGGCGTCAAAGGGTGCAATGATCCGACGCTCACCTCAACAAAACTAGGCTTCAGTTGAATTCCCCGAGATAATCACCTCAATTACTAGATTCCATTCATTACTTCAGGAAGATAGCTGAATGGATTATCAGCACAGAGGTTCAAAGATTTCTTTTAATTTCTACGGCTAGTTTTGTTCAGTTTTCTCACTTTTTCCTTTTCAACATTTTGTTGTTGAAAACATAATTTGTTTTTCTATGTTAAAAGATGTTGATTAAACGCTGAAGAAACAAGGTATGCAATGGAAAATGACTTACCTGCACTTCGTGCATTTGTCCCCTATTGGCTTTCCTGAAATATTCCGGGGCTGTTCCCACTACGGGGTAGCCCCGGGGTCCCGGTAAATCATCAAGTGTCCTAGGTTCTACCACACTTTGTGTATTGTCCGTTCGATCTGCAACAGCTTCAGCAATAAGTCTAACAGCTGACACATTTTGAGTAACACCCGTATAACATTTCCTTTTCTGACTTTGGAGAAGTTTTTTGGCTGCAACACTCTTCGAAAAAAGTTTTTGCACTGCACGTTCTGCCATTGTCAATCTTTATAATACTTTTTGTCTTTGCTCCTCCACGGATTAATTTCCGTGAAAATATGAATACCAAAACAAATCCAACAGAAATGAATTCTGAAATAAAAAGAAAAAAATGCAGAGGTCAACTTTGAAATAATCCAGTTTTCATTGATACATAGTTTAGATGAGACACTTAGTGGGTCTCCCTCTCTGTTTGGCGTACGAGAGCCGTGTGCCACACTGTGCTAATGAAATGCTTTATATAGCCCCAGTGCTTCCGCACGAAGCGTTTGCAATAAGCAGGTAAAGGTAAATATGAGTTTTACAGGTCTATAATGCAACCACAATTTAAAAACTAAGTGTAAAGTAGATATATATGTTAATGAACTCTAAAGGTGGTTTTTTCGTCGCTTGTTCTTTTTTCGGCTTCCTAATTGTGTTAACTTTACATACCTCTTTAGTGACAGAGAAAGACTTTAATAAATGTTTTATCGATAATAGTAAATGATGCTTAAAACCTAACTTGCATACACCCATTAAAACCGCAATATATCTTTTCATTCGTTTATTTTCATTGGGACCAATAGGTGAGAGGTTATGGTTACGAATATTTGTCTTTGCATGTCATCAAATGTATTCAAGTAATATGAGTTTTTGAACTTTCAATTAATTGGGTTTTTCTTCCTTTTGTTAAAAATAATCTAACAACGCAGAATTCTTATTTTTTTTTCAGTAAAATGTTTCAAGTATCTGTTTAGTTTAGAAAACTTTAGATAGAAATTATTGTTTTCATTATAAATACGAAAGATAGCGATATATTTGAAACATTTTATGTCTTCAAATTTTTTTTGGAAAAAAAAAACAACAACAGCTTGCACTCCAGTTTTGTATTCTTTGAAAAAAAAAATCTTTTTATTCGCTTTTTTTGCTTTTTCAAGGGAGAATTCCATTGAAGAGACAATGTGTTCCAGATATCCAACTTTCATTTTATTGCTTTTACTCATTTACCTCTCCATGAGTGCACCTTGGTAAACTTTTGGTATAAATAGTTTTGATAAGGGAACCGTGGTCGCATAACTTGTGGCAATATTGTCTCTCTTTGACAATATCGCTCTTAAGTACGTGCATTGTAAATTCTAAAGTCACAAATATCAATTTGTAAATAATACCCTCACTTTGTTAGACTATCTCTCATTGATATGCAATATTCAATTATTTTTCACGTTGCCAGCTTTATTTTTCTATCAGTATAAAACGTTTTTGTCGCAATAATATTTTTTTTAAATTATTTTATCAAGAATTCAAACTTTTGCATCTGAGATTTTTTTCTAAGCATGCTTCTTATCAAGTAAAGAAAAAAAATATATAATTCGCTAGAACGTCACATCCAAAAGTTGTTTTTTAATATATTTTATCAATGGTCAATACATTAATATATCATCGAGATCTTTCTAATTAAAGGTGAAGATCAAAAAAATTAAAGTTTTAGTCTTTACATTTATTGAATTAATTCCAAAACACGCACTCTCACACAAACACAGCATGCCTGCACATTGCAGAGAATATAAATTTCACCTATTTATCTTACCTGTAAAAATAATCCAAATAAAACAAGAAATGTTACATAGAGCAAATCTGATTGCACCTGTAATACACAATAGAAGATAGTTACTCCGCCATGCGTTTCATCGATACGAAATACATTTACTGTACGCAAAGACTCCAGTGGCGTCTATTTATAGCGTACGAGCGCCTTTTTCACTCATTCATAAGTTGGAAATGGGGCAGGGCCAAAAGGGTAAACAGGCAAAAAAGCCACGTATGGAATGTCATTGGCGTGCCGTGATTGGCTAGAGAAATATTTTTGTCAGCTGTGGCAGATATGATTGGTCGTTCTATAAGCATTCGTGCGAGTAAAATATCCACCTTCCTGTGTTGAATCGAGTTTATACTCCGATTTTTTTCTTTCTTCGACAAAATCTCTCATTCACGTAGCGTTAGCCTTAATTCTTGTCATTTTGCCACTGCTTTCTTTACTAGTGGGGGCTTAAGATTATCCAGCGATCAACATGAATGAAAAATATATTTTTAAACCTTTCACATAAGATTTAACATGCTTAAATCAAGGCACTGGACGAGTTTTTATTGCCTAAATTCTACAGTGTCTTATAGATACATTATGCATTTATTTTGTATACTGTACAATTATTTTTTACGGAAGTACATAGTAATTAATTTTAATAAATATTCATTAATAAAAAATTATCAAAGGAATGTAAATATAAAATTAATATACATTTTTAAATGAAGTCTTGAAATTCTACTGGTCTTTTTTCTTTAATCGTAAACTGAGAAATTCTGTTAATGTATAAACAAACTCAGAAATGGAATTTAAAAGAAAAAAATTAAAAGAGTTAGGGAATTTAAAAAAAAAAAAATTAAGATGAATATGTTCTACAGCATTAATTCTTGAGATGTCCTCTATTTTAGTAATTTACGGTAGTTTCATATCCAATATCAACAATTCTACGATATATACTCAAGTTAAATCTAAAATCAATATAACTTCAACATATACCGCAATCATCTTCTCATTAAGCAAACAAAAATTTTGTTTGATTAAAGAAATGTCAATCTGTGTGACATATTGCAACTCCGAGGTTGCAGAGTGCGTTTTCTTAAACTAATTTGCTGTGATTGTTTCCATAGAGAAATTGAAAGTCAGATTTATGCTGCATAAATATTTTAATGATATCTTGGGTACAGAAATACTTTATTGTGTGGGGTGAAGAGGTACAAGCGTACCATCGTAAGTGAATTACGATCTGCGCTTTTGTGATCAAGAAAAATTTTGTCGCGATATCGATTTTCTGCAAAGACCATCAGAGAATAAACCTACAGTTTAATGTCTTTAAAGGAGCACTTATTGATCTTTAAAACAAATTAATTTCATCATTATTTCTTCAATGCATGTATTCCTACTGAATCAAAGAATTCCTTGTACAAGGTTGCACTCAATGACCTAACCACGTTCAAACTCTCGCCAGTGTTTGTGTCACATGACTCGGGGCGGTTTTTCGCTCGTAATGGCCAGTATAATTTCTTTTCAGCCCAGTTTGCCGCGCTGACACGCGCGTTGAAGTGGACACGATATTTAATTTGTCAGACCATTTAGCATCCTGCGTCAGTCTGCTACTTGTACAAAGTAAACAGATTTTCCTAATCAGGAATCCTTTTGTAAAATACCATGATGTAACAGTGAGGGGAAGAAAAGGTTAACTTAAGAGTTTCTTGATCTAATAAGGTTGTTGAACTACATTACAGATCATTATTCTGAAATACTTCATTCAAACCCAACAGATTGTTGGGTTTATTACCACTTTTATTTTCTTCCCTATTCATTTATTTGTTTTCTTGTTTACATATGTTGATTTTTGGGAGGAAAGCGAAAACAAGATATAAGAAATTTTTAAAAATCTCTAAAGAAAATAGATTTTTTTAGTTTCAATTCATTGATTCAGGGGGTATACAATACGTGTCAAATACCAAGCATATTTGCACCCACCTCCAATATGGCATTGCATCTGGAAAAATGATGGTACGGCGTGGTTCCGTCAAAAAAAGAACACGGTTCAATGCCATGACTCGTTCACTTGCATGTCCTGAAAACAAAGTCGACGAAGAGAGAAAAAAGCGGGCAAGACACCTGTTTAAATCGAAATCCATTTATTCCGATCCAAAAATAAAACGGTGTGCAATTCCCCTTGCACCCAGCATAATGAGGGAACAGGACTTAGTAAAATAAACTTTCTGTAAAAATATAGCTGACTGAAGAAACAAAAATCCCGGATGACATGAGGTTAATCTGGTGCTGCATCTAACCGGATAGGTCACTGGAAGTTACAGTACAGAGCGCGTGAGGTTATGTCTTGTACTCTGTGTAGTTTGGATGTGATCAGTGATCACATACATGTTCACATGATATACATATCACTTTTAGTCAATAGTTCATATATAATATCATGCTGAAACTAGACTGAAATTAATTCAGGGAAGCAACTTTTTTTATAATTCAAATACAACTTCAGAAATTTAGTTTGACAGAAAAACATGCCACTTTTTCTACAATCTATACAAATTTAAGAAGTTCGAACATCGAGAAAGATTCCGACGTTTGTTTAACTGACAGAAAAATTTCACTCATACATACCTTTTACGACAATTTAGCAACAGTTGCAGGGAAATATGTCCGAAGCATATCACATGCAATACATAGGCTTAGATAATTAATCTTGTAAATTTATGATTAATCTTGTAAATTTATGTATCAAATTAGACGTCCTAAAAATGTTAATTAGAGCAACAAAGCAGCAAACGTCCAATACTACTCAGTCCAGGAATAATCTGTGAAAAACAAGGAGGAAAAATACCCAAGTGGGAGAATTGACACGGCTTTACCTGATTGTATTATCCTCCGTTTATAACTACGAATTGGACTATTATATTTGACAAGAATGGGGTGAAATAACGTTCGACCAACAATTAACTTTGTCCTCTACGATATGGAAAGACGATTTTGACAGTTGTGGATTATTCTAAAGGCTTTCTAAGTATCATATTTGATGTATTGTATTGCTTCAGTAGAACTAAAGTTCACCTTGATGTACGCACGTAACCATATTCGAAGTACGATGTTGTCATATTTGTCATATATGGTATTATGGTGTGTATATAGAGTAAGATAATGTTACTTGGAGTGTCTTTTTTTAACAGAAAAAATTTGGGTTTTGAAAAATCATTCACAAAATTACTACATTTGCTGTGGCAGGAATTTACTTACTGAACTAATGAAAAAAAGCTGTACTTGTTTGATTTATTAAGAAATTGGCAGCATATCAGTAGAATCGAAAGGGCGAAATCGTACTAGGCTTTAGAAAAAAGGTTATCTTTTGTTATCCAAATTTAAATTCGCCTCCTCCACCCCCAAAAAGTTCACATGGTACCGTATGCTATGACTCTAGTGGTTGTAAGGGGGGTTGCATAACGTAATGAACGCCAGTAATAACCTGTTTTCTCTTTTGCTAAAGAAATCCCCTCCTTGTTTTATTGTTTTGGAATTATGTCAGTGTACTTCTTAACGTAATTTCTTGTGATAAGTCTACGCCATCTGAGCCAAATTTAGGGATTCCGCTAAGCAAAGAACTCATTCATAACTGCTGATAATTCCAACCTGATCTAATACTTTGGAAGTTTTTTGTACAGCGCGCTTGTAAATAGTGCCAACATTTTGTTTGGTCGAAGTTATTTTTGTTCCCCCCAAGTTCGTAGGTTTGGCAAAAAGGTATTTGAAAGAGATTTTGTGGTCAAAAAGTGTACCTAATATCAATTAGATATATATGTTTGTTTTGTACTATAATACGATTTTGAGAGTATTGCTGTAGAAAAACAGAATATCTGGAAAACATAAAGTTATTGATAAACCCAACAGCCGGATAACCTCTGGGAAAAAAGGGATTTACACGAAGCCTTTCAGTGTGACCGTATTATAGGAGGTGGAAAGGGGCTGAGATAATTCTAATCTTGTACTTATTACAAAGCATTCCTCTGCGAATCCCATTTTTCCAATTCCAAAATAATCGAGTACTAAAAGGTACATATGTACCTCAACAAACAGAACAACAGGAAATTGCTTCACTATTTTGGTATCTGTTTGAGCATACTAATAATCTTCTTTTTAAAAACAAATACTTTTGAAACAAAATTTGATATTAAGTCAAATTAAAAAAAAACAATAAGGTATAGTATTTTGTATTTAATTCAAATAAATAAGAGCATCCTCTAACTATATAAAATTTAAACGAAGTACAAAACTCACTAAAAAGTGCAACTCCTTTAATAAAGCAATATCAATTTCTCCATTTTGCTGAATTTATAATATTTTCTAATCTACTCAGTAAAATTTTAAAACAACTTCTGTTTTTAATCTGTGGTGTTGTGTACTTAAATCTGATATAACTTTTTAACGATGTGCATTCCAAAATTTTCAATTAATTTATTTACAAGCTTATATATTAACTTAGTGTTTATTTAGAACAGTCTCATATGAAATATCATACTTTATTTGTTAAAAAAAATATTCTTAAATCAAAATCTTGTACGTATATCATAACCAAAAGCAGATGAAACTATTACAGGAGGGGTTTCTTGGTAGTCAAACCTTTCTCGTTCTGTGTTGTATCAATAACCGTTAAAAGATCAACGAAATTGATTCCTCTGTACATCTTCTTCCCCACTTTGTATCTTGTTTGTTTTCTAATATTGAAACCTGAAATCAAGAGAATTTTTAAAACTGATTTCACTGAGTAATTGTATACATGAGTAATGAAATAATAATAACATGACAATTTTCATTAAAGTTCATATTTAAAAGGTTCGTGCACTATTCGCCTCCAGTTTTATCCGTCACAAAAAAATTCAAGAATAAAATCTCAGAATTGTACCTTTGTATTATTAAGGTTCGCAGGTACATATCTACAAAAATTTTTCGTGATTGCTTCTTCTCTTTCAGCCAATGAATATATATGGGTGTTTTCACTATGTCGCATAAAGTGTTGCTAAATGTTTCCTTTTACATTCATTGATAGGGTGTGATCTTTTGAAAAGTAAATAAATTTTTTTGAATTTTCTTCAACTG